TTCAAAATAATCTACAGTTAAATATTGTTAATCAAACATAAATATTCTTTTAATCCTTTCATCAATAAAACTCAACTTTTACCAAGTTCGGAATAGAAGGATTCAATTTAATTTATGTTTATTCATGATTGTTGATAAAAGGGTGATTTCACTGATAACCTGATAAAGCCCTACTTTTTGGCTTCGCTCACATTCCTTTACTTTACTACTCAGGAAAAAAGCCGGTAGACTGATTACATTCACAAAAAAAGGAAGAATCGGAAACACGGTTGATGTACGAGACCAACAGAAAATTATTTCGGTACCAAGACCAGCCTACTGTAAAAAAATATTAGTGATTTCACCGATCGTTCCTGTAATCTTGTACAGAAATAAAATGTTATTCTACAGATTATGTTCGTTTTACAGAAATACTATAGTCAAATTACAGAACCAGTAAAATTACAGAGTTTGGGGATTTTTAACGAAAAACTGCTGTAAATTTACACACGTCTGTGAAAATCCACACGTACTCTGGTATTATTACATGTATTGGTAAAGTTACAGACACTCTGTACGTAGTCTTTCAGATACTTTTCTTGCTAAACATGTCATGAAACTGCCAAAAAACTTTGTATGGGTTCTGTAAATCAAGCCGTATGTATATTTTGTGTTCATTTTTACACAGAGTTATTAAAACTGATTTCTGTGCATTCAATTTGGCCGTAGAACTTTGGGGTAAAGTTCTCTGGAAAAAGAATGGCCTAAGGTACAACTTGGCTTAATCAGATCTTTAGAATTGTATTTGGTTTAGAATTTGACATTTTGGACCAATGTTAAATTTTTCAATGTTCAAGGTTAGTCAAAATAGACGGTTCCCACTGTGCCCATTTCAAGAAGAATTAAGGAAATCGTCAATGGAAACAGTTCTTAAATGACGGTAAAAACCAGTACAAATGAACCCTCATACAATCAATGGACTTCCTCGAGGTCAGTCATGTGAAACTGTACTGTTAAATAAGAAAAATAAGCGGATTTTTCAAACTGGTTCCGGTCCTGATTTCCTTACTTCTTCTCGAAACGCGCAGAGCGGGAACCGTCTATTGTGGCTTTTATAATTTTTTAAAGGTGGAATATGAAACAAATATACTAATCTGTTTAAGCCAATTTGTAGAGGGGCATATAAATCATGTTTCTCCAAAACATTTGTCTTCGTAACTAAAAATTTAATGTGCAGGGAATTTTTGGAGCCTTTAAAAATAAAAAAGTTCCGACCAGAAACGGATCGTGAAAGCAGATG